TGTTGCACACCACAGAATATGACAAGTGGCAGTGTTTGAAGATGCAAATCCTAGAATAGCATCAGAGAAGCAGAGGAGCCGAATCTGAGTCCATCTTGTCCATACCACCTACCAAAAGTGAAACATCCCTAAAACCACTCATCTCCATAATCAGGCTTTTAGCAATTCTGCACCTTTATTATAGAATAAAAATACATCAACTTTCAAAAGATTACTTCATGCAAGAGACAGAAGATACTGGATATTGTCACAGACTTCTGCAAGTGAAATATGAAGTCTATTAATAAGGTAAACAGATGAAGGAAATGCTGCTATGTCCATCTGATTGTCACATACTTCGGCATATTACATACACTGACTCATTCTTGACAAGGAATTAGTAGAAATAACTTCAGCTTGACCATAAATTAAAGCAGTGGCTTCTAGTTTGGGGAGCTCTGGACACCACATTACCTTGATACAAAGGCATCAAAATCAGTAAAAAGTCAAGTTTCCTAGAAGAGAAGGCTTTATTACCTGGATAAACTTGTAGTTTTCCTTCTCAGAGACAGTTTCAAGATTCTTCAAGCTTGCACAGTAGTCGAGCTGAAGAGAAATACCCACACAATATCATTAAGCGGCCTTCGTGAAAGCAAATAAGCTAACTCAGACTCAACCTAATCACTAGAAAGTTTGAGAACAAAGTAAAAACTTCTCTCAAAAGAAAAGCTGTTTTGCAAGCAGACACGATGAAGCTTTAAAAAACATGAAGCACTGAAAAAATATTCTAACTACAAAAATTCTTAAACAGAAGTTTAGAACTTCAAAAGCTTCCTTTTTTTTTGCAAATAATTATTTGTGGCGGGCACAGGACTGTAAGCATGAACTGCAGTTGAATTTTTTTTTTGCATAGGAACAAATGGATAGTGAAACAAAACTTTAATAAATAATTCGTACAAATTTCAACATGCTATAGACTACATTAAAAATAATTTAAAACAAGTTTCCATATCAAGAAATAAAACAAGCTACTTACCTTATCTAGATTTATAATCAGATAGTTTGGGTAGTTTTTCACAAGAGAGACAACTACATGTGAAGCACTGTAGGACAGAAGAAAAACATATTTTACAATTATATAGGTAGCTTTAAGGTAACAAAGAGACGACAAATTACAAGTAAATTTAGCAATACCAAAAGGCTTTGGGGGAAGAGGGGGTTTTCTCAAGCCAGGAGAAAGAGGAATTCTCAGATATATTTTAAGATATGACAACATTATCCTATTGATAATGCCCATAACTGCATACTCTTATGAAACTAAAAATCAGATTACAAGTTCATGCTGTAACAAAAGAAAACAGTGCTGCTTACAGCCACCTAAAAAACCATACCAAACTGTTATATGCTACATTCAGTACTTTTATTCTCTTAAGTTTATACATTAGGCATTAGAGAGAACTAATAAGTCATCTCTCCTAACTCACAATGTTGAGCTCTCAACACTCAACTCACTGACACTGCTGCTAGGTGTAAGAAGAAATGACAGCCTGACTACCAGGTGGCATTTCTCTTCGGTACAGTCTTGCGTACAAGAAGTTGAGCCTGAGAGTTCAGGTTTAGCAAGGTTTATTCGTATCTCCCGCCCCCCAAGCTGGGGGGGGCAAACACATAAGTTTAATTTTCCCTCTCACGGCTTCAGACTGTGAGCACGCTGAAGGGCTCAAGCTTAAGACGGACCTGAACTTTCTCTACCTCGAGCAGAGCCCACGGCGCTGGGGAGTGGGGATGAGAAACAGCAGCTGGCTCAAAGCACAGCCACCCCCCACCCCACCCCGGCCGAGGCGCAGCACCGACTCCCACCGTCCCTTCACCGAGCACCTTCTCCCTCACCGCGGGCGGAGGGCAGCCGGGCAGCAGCCCGGCTCGCTCCCCAGCGCTTACCACCTCAAGCTCCACCACACGGGAGAGCCACGGGGCAGCCTCCACGGCAGAAACGGCTGCGCCCACCGCAGCCCGGGCCCGAGCCGCCACGGAACCGGCCCGGGGCAGGCCCGAGGGAAGCGAGCAAGCGA